TAATTTAATTTACAAAATATTAGTTAATGCTAAATTTTTGTTTCTATAAAATTTTTTTTTTTAATTAATTAATTATTAAAGCTTTGGATATAAAATTACAAAATATTTGGCACATAAATATAGACATCAAATAAAATCAAAGCAATATAATATTGTAATAGGTCGGTTATTTTTATAATAAAACACCCATTTTAAACATTGAAGTATTTAAAAATTAGGCTGAGAAATTCAATGACCAATGATTATCTTGAGTCTTTATGGCTTATGGACATTGAAAATAAAATTCTCATGGAAATAGATAACAATATTATCATAAATGCAGTTGGTGAGAAATCTAATCTATTATCTAAATTTTATTATTACTATGAATGTATAAATCTTTTTTATTATATATTGTTTACAATGTTTGTATATATCTATTACTTATTACCTTATATCTAATATACCTAAACAATTAAAACACAATGTATAATATAATTATTAATATTTCGTTGATTTCAACTATTAAACCATACCTACTAATTTTATTTTTCAGACTTTCAGGAATAAGTAGGTACTTAGTGGTATATTAATATTATTTGTTAGAAGACAGAAGTTAAAAGAAATAGCAAGATAGTGATTGAAATACTTTTATAATACTAAAAGTAGTTTTCAAATAGGTAAATAGAAAAACCAAATTCGAGCTTAGCGAGAAAAAAAATTTTGGTGGGTGGCCTGGATAAATTTTAAACTCCCGGCCTGGATTTGGTTCCCACTCCGCCCCTGGCTATAGATACACGTCACAAAAAAATATTGTTTGAAAACATTTTGGGAAATTAATTCTCCAAAGAGTGGCTAGATCTCATATGAATACTCATAATAGGAGCAATGAATTTATACTGAGGGGGGGAGGAGTCTATAACCTATATCTACAGGCTACAAACCACATATTCTTCAAATGTAACTAAAAAACTGTAACGGGAAGGGGGGACTAAACAAAATTCCAGGAGATATATAACTTAGCCAAACCCCACCCCCTCATTCTAAGCTTATGTTGACTCTATAGGTAGATGCTGCAGATTTATGTCAAATTAGAAAAAAATATTTATGCTGCAGGCCGTTGTAACACTTCAGCAATATTGCCTAAAACATTGAATGAAATGAGTCATGAGCTATGCATATGAGTATATGACTATATGAGTAGTGAGTATATGACAAATCATTGTAATATGTTCCAGTCAGCACAATTTGTTGAAACGGAATGGATTGAATACAATCCAAACAGATTGTTAGGCTTAGATGTTTATTGTAAAGTATTCAAGTGTTTATAACACACATTGGACTAGTGCCAAAGTACATAGACTTATGAGTGATGGTTGTTGTATTTATACATTATATACTATAGTATGGTACTATGGTGGACTGTAAGAAAGAAAACAGAATTCAATAAATGAACGACTCATTTATCAAATTTTATCAACGATAGTCAATAACTGCAGGAATTTCTATGGATTCTACACACAGCCTTTTTAACTTTTACAGAGAAAAATATTCAGTTTCATTTTTAGTACGAGAATTTTCAATTTGTCAAACACATAAAAATATAAAAATGTAATTCAAATAGTCAAAAACCTGTGTTATTTAACATTGAAAATTATAAACAATTAAGTCCTCATAAGTTACAAATCTCAGGATATTAGTTTCCATAATAACTAATAATTTAGCTTGTCTTTTTTTTATTCATACAATTTAAGGCTTCAATACCTACCTAAGATTATTACAATTACCTACTACAAATTATTTCTGACAGTAAGATTACCATTTATTTGCATCTATAGTGTATAAAAAATGTTCACTATCTACGTTTTCTAGATATAATATTATGTAGGATTGAGCACTTAACATAAGCACATGTGACTATAGTATGGGACTAGTATCATCTACTATTAAAAAAAAATTATTGTCTCATTAAGAATTAATATTACTGTATAACTGCCATGATGTCTTGCCAAATCGCTACACACAATCATTTTTGAATGAAACTGTTACAGAATAATTGAAAAATATATAAATTAGAAATACAAAGGAATTTATTTTGATTAGAAAATTCCATTAGATGGATAATTACGAACGTTTAGATGTATTTTATAAGAATTTCGCAGAATTTCTGGCAGGGTAGTCATACATAAGTACATAACACATTAACACACACACATATTAACAGTGGCGTATTTACGGGGGGGGGGTCCCAGGGTCTCGACCCCCCCAGAAAAAAATATAATATAATATAATTATTACATCATAACTCGTATGTGTTTTTTTTTATATTATAAACTTGTAGGTACCTAATATTTAGACCCCCCCACAAAAAATTTTAAAATACCCCACTGCATATTAAGTACCTATATATTATATTCATGTTCACATCTAAGTTATTAAATTAATTTGGATGGGGTAACCTCGTTTAACTACATTTACGATATCAATTACCATGATAATAATAATTAATATTGAGGGGGGAAAGATCGCAGAGTAGTCAAGTGCCTACCATGACTACCCCGTGAGCACCACTGTGCGAATTATTTTACATTATACAATTGAGTTACTTTATGAAACACATTTATATCATATTGAAATCAATTCAATTATAATTGTTGAGTTCAACGAATAGAACAATTTAACTAACGAAAAAAACTAATTAAACACAAACTTATTTTAAAAAGTTTTTTTTTATATAAATATAAAAAAAAATAGACCGCCCGGCCACTCCGTCCCCCATATTATACGATTATTATACCTGTTAGGTATAATATTATAGGGTATTACCACTGGGTATCCTAACTAATCGCATGATTCATGTTAACCTTTTATTATTCACTTACCAAACCTACTTATTGTACAAAAATTAATGTATAGATTGTAGATTTATTTCAATAAAAAATAAAAAAAAAATTATATGACAATATAATTACTATAATTAATAAATGCGTAACTAAAAAAATATAATTAATCAAAATATCTTAAGGTACTGCAGGGTACACACCACACGACTTTTTTTTTATCCTGGCATGATTTTGTTGGTGGCACAGTCTGCCGGGGGGGGGGGGGGGCAGTGCCCACCCGGCTCCTCCCGTAAACACGCCTATGTTGACAATAATATCACAGAATAGATTAAATCTATTCTGTGATAATATCATCAAATATACTTAGTAATATTATAGGCTGACTGACCGTTTTCGCTCAGAATCGTTTATCTTATACAATGATATTATATCATTGGATTCAAATTTAACACCATCCATTACAGCGATCCACTTGTATACTACTGTAGTACAGCAGAGCGATTTTTTTTACATTTAATAGGTACAGAAAACAATAATATTACACAATGGCCAAACAAACGTTTCTATTATCAATTTTATTCTTTGGTTCGAACGTCTATAAGAACGACAATAATAATACATTAGCACATCATATTTTTATACCATATCAATATGTATCCATAAACATTTAACCTATTACCTACTTAGGACAGTAGGTATAATTTATTAATTACGATGATTAATAATTTTCGAGATTTTGATAAATTTTGTCGAAATTCGATCTTTAAATGCTTATAAAAAAAAACCGTGCCTATGTACTAATTTTAATATTCAGTGAAATTTGCATGTATCTACAGTTATTCGTTTTTGAATTACAACAAAATAAGGAAATCGCTACATGAGAAATCGAGTGAGTATCCAATGTTGTAAAAATTTGAATTTCAAACGCTCATAAAAATTTAATTTGACTTTCTTATAGACATTTTTTTTTTGTTAAAGGGAGATAATCTTATAAGTAATCTTTTATTACATTTTCATATCTAAGATTTAAAAAGAGAAATTTTTACGAATTCTTAACTCAAAATAATTTGCTTATTTTCGTGATTTTTCCATATTTTGTCAATTTTTGAACTTTAAATGCTTATAAAAAAAAACTGTGACTAACGATTTTTAATATTTTTCATCTGCCTTTGAAACAATATACTAGGAGCCTTCTATTAAATTTTCAAGTTTTTTTATCGTTATCGTGTATAGAAAATACAAATATAAACAACCAGTGAAAATTTCATGTATCGGTCATTTGTTTAAAAGTTCCACCAAAAATCAAAATCGATTTTCTAGGAAACAGATTTTGCGTTAAAAATTCCCGTTTTTCCTTAATTTTTCTTTAGGTTTTAACGGCGCTTTTGAAAACTTTACTGGGAAATTTTTACTTTTGACCCCCCAAAGTACCAACTAGATTCACTTTCCTATCAGAAAAGATACTGTTGAAGAAAATCCAAGCACTTTTACTGTCCTAAAAGGTGATGACAGACACAAAAAAAAAATAAAAAAAAACACACCATTGTAAAATCATTACATTCATCGTTCCACTCAGAATCTAAAAAAACAATGAATGTATTTAACATTATTTCAGCATTTTATTGTAAGTATCAGTAAATCAATTTGAGTTCAAGGATATCTATCAAACAATATTTCAGCTTAAGCCATTTTTAAATTTATTATCATATTATATTATAAAGTGTATTGACAACAGAATGAATAAAGTTAAATGGCATCATAGTATTTGGTATAAAAACAATACTAATGCAAAGATAAAATATTGAATATAATAAAGATGTACACTCAAAGAGAATGAATGTCATTACAATAGTTGAAAAAATCACTACTTGAAAAAAAAAATAATAATAACAAAATAGTAAAATACTTAAAATATTTTATCTCACATATTAATATATATTATACTAAAACTTAAGCTTAATGATTATTAATGTGTACATCTTGTTTTTTTTTTAAGATTTTGACTATCACAAATATTAAACAAATGATAAATTTGTTGAGTGGTTTTGACTATTAATAAGAAAAGTTAAAATAAGTACTCGGTTTAAATTGTAATACAATCATAAGTCATTAAAAAATTAAAATTATAAGTCAAAATACATATACCTAATAAGATGAGATTGAATTTATTTAGGTACATTATTCATATTTGCCCATATTTCCCATTACTCCCCTCACTGTCTTTTCTACTACTGCAGCTACTAAATTTGGATCTAACTGGCCACTAACATCTTTAGATTGGGATACAGACGATGAATCAGAATATTCATTTTTTCTCCATACCTGCCCAGAATTGTAAGATCTGCCACTATCATATGGTTTTCTATCATAACGACTATTATTTCTATAACGATCTGAATAACTACTGCCCCGGTCATAATCATCCCAACCACCATTATCATAGTAGTGATCACGACTACTGTAGGAATCTCGACTTCCTCTCATACGACCACCATATGGATTTCCCCCACTTCCGCCGCCGCCCCCACCACCGCCGCCGCCGCCACTACTGCGTCCACCACGTGACCTTTGGTCCTTATCTTTAGGCATAGCAACAGATACACTGAGACGAATATCTTTGATGGTGTGATCCTGGTCAAGAGCAGTGAGTGCAGCATCTGGTTTGGTGAATGATACAAAGGCAATCCCTTTAAATGGACGAGGAACAAACACTTCAACAATATCTCCAAATTTTTTAAAATAGTCTTCTAGATCTTCTTGAGTTATACTTTCAGTCAGTTGCCCCACAAATATTTTCTTGGGCGCTTCATTTATAAATGCATCCTAAAATCAATATGATTATGTTAACAAGGTAAAAAAACATCATAAATAATACTTTCATAACAGAAAACACATTTCAAAAAAATTTTATATGAATACCCACTAGGTATGATAAAAATATTCTAAACACACTTCATAAAATAGTATAAAATTAAAAAAATATTTACCTAACATATTTTTATTTTTAGAAGAAAATATACAATCTATATCTAAGACATAATGAGTATATGTGCGATAAGAGGTAGACAAATAAAACATGATTTACATAATTTGGGGAAAGAAGCTACCTACTGATGACACTTTTGACTTGGATTATAACTCAAGTATAACATAACATGATGAAATACCATAAATTAAAATATGATATAATTAGTACCCACATCATAAATTTTAATTTCAGTCATAACCACAATACAAAAGTTGTTAATTATTATTATAATAGATCAATCACATTGATATGGAATATGTTATTAATTATTATTATTATAACTACAGTTAAACAATTAAACAGCAAATTGTTCATAAAAAAATATAATAAGTATAAATTCAATTCAATCTATCTAACTGGCTTAAATTGCTATAGTTGAATTTATAATCTGTAAAATTATTCAAAATTACTTATATAATTTTCTTGAACTGGAATAGCATATGATATCAAACATTGTCTATTGACACAACTATTAAAAAATCTAAAATGTTTACAATGTATATTTATGGTACAATATAAAAAATTCTGAAAAACTAGTCACTATAAGTGATAAGTGAGAGTAAAATAACAATTCATTTGGATAACTGATCAATAAATAGTTTGAAGTTAATAAACAAATAAATATTTTTGAACATTTTAAAATGCTCACAGCGTGCTTGAAAATTAAAATATCAAAAATAGTCTGCTTGGGCCTTAGATATTCATACATATAAATTTGATAACTTTCACAGTAATATTAAAAATAACAGAGTAAAATGGATTATTCTAAACGTAAAATTTGGTATGTGAATATTAGTAAGATGGATAGAATTCATGCAGGTATATGGCTACTTAGTAGAAAAGAAAGAAAATATACTGATATAATTATATACATAAATTAAATGTTAACTATTTTTAATTTAATTATAAATTGATATACATTTTTTGATTACGAACAAGCTACATATTTCATAACTACTAAATTGTGTAGTGAAGTAATGAACACATTATAGATAATTTCAACAATTTCCATAAATATTTATGGTTTATAAATTCTTAAATGCATTAATTTTATCTTTCATTTAATAGTTATTTATTGATAACAATGAGATAGTTTTAATAGGGTTTGTATACAACAATTATTCAAACTTTGACTTTATTTTATAGTTTAACGGAAATTGAGATCTTGCCATTCGTGCAATTACAAACACCAAACTTTAAATAAACCCCTCAATTTATTGTATCTTGAAAAAAAAAAAATTGTAATCATAAGAAAAATAAATGATTGTTAACCAATGAAAATATAGTGCATTATATTTTATTAAGTGGACCTACCTGCAATTCGTTGTCGCCAACATACAATTAGGTAACATAATAAATTTATGTGAAATTGTAAAGACACACATCCGAATGTTTATTATTTATTTTAAGTTGCTATAATATTATTAGTTATAACCTACATCATCAACCTATGAAAGAAATTATTCTGCCATGCCAATAAAAAATTAGAAGAGATATTTATAATATATTGAAAATTAAATTATTTTTAATAAATATGCAGTCAAAACTCAAAAAAGAACTTCATCTCTTTAACATATAAAATAACATACTCTTTACAAAGACATTGGAATGTTTATTTTTAATATAGTTATAGAAAAAGTTTTTATATTGTAAATAATTATATTAAAAACACAAACATCAATAAATATTGTTAAAATGTAGGTATTGGTAACTCTCGGTATGCTATATAATATGCGGTTACATAAATATCAAAATTAAAAATAATCATATAATAATGAACTAAAATTAATATATTAGGTCTATGTAATGTGTATCTTAATACCGGGGATTCGTATATCAAACAATACTCATTACTTCAAAAAGTGTAAATTTTTTTACATAATTTTAAGTCGCTTATAAAACAACTTTTTTATTAAAAAATTATATTTTTAAATATTTTTATAAGTTTTTTACTTTTTTGAATAACAACATAGGGTTTTAATTTTATATTTCAAAGCAGAATATTTTTCTTAGTATTTCAATACAAGAAAATCGAATTTGGGGTGAGTAGTTAATGAGTTACAAATATTCAAAGTTTTGACGAGTGGTGAAGTGGACAAACTTTTGGGGGGTAACCCCGTACCAATCCACTCATCTTAACTTTAAATATTTATAACTCATAAACTACTCGCCCCAAATTCGATTTTCATGTATCAAAATACTAAGATTATAAAATTATAACCCTACGTTGTCATTCAAAAAAGTGAAAAGCTTAAAAAATTATAAGGATAAAAATATTTAAAATATTGAGTGTTTGATAAAAGAATCACACGGTATATAAAACCGAAAATTGAAATCTTTGATGCTAATGTTCTCGGAAACCGATTGTCTTAATTTTTTTTTTACCTAATGAACGATTATATCATGGAGAAGGTTCCTATCGCAATAGCACTTTTTTAAGTTAATTAACATTTGAGTTATCTATTAATTAAATAATATATAATTGTACACCTATATATATATTATTTACCTACATATTGTTTTCCCCCTGGAAACCCAATACCAACAATTATTCGAGCAAATCAGATACAAGCTTCAAAGCTTGCATCAAATCGAATTAATAAACATTGCCTACTAGGGTGGCTGAGTTGCACTTACTGCAGCAAGTTACAACCAAAAGTTGTGAACAATCATAATTTTTTTAATAGTTGCAATTTGTTACGGGCAATGAAGTACACGGGTTCAGCTAGTACTAATTAATAGTCAATAAAGGAATGGTTAGCCTTCTCCCTATTTATGCTTGTGTATCTTACAAATATTATATACATTTAGAAAGCTTAATTTTTAGTTTTAAAAGTTTTAAAATTTCATGTACCTAACATAATCATTTAAAATAATTTACTGTATATTATAAGCACCTTAATGTTTGGTATTTTAATCTCACACCGCCTTCCATTTATCACATGAGAATCTAACATTGACCGCACTTGAGATTCTTGTTCTTTAAATCGTATAAATCCAAAACCTCTTGATCTACCATCAGTTGTCTTTTTAATCTAAATTAAAAAATGGTAATTAAAACAATATAACTTGTTACTATACATAATTGATAATCTGGATGATTAATTCGAACACTAAAAATATATTTTCACAAACCAAATATAAAGAACTAACTTTATATCACATTCATACATTTCCTAATTTACAAACCCTTTTTTCTTTGTTATTTTTATTTAACTAACTTGTGCCATGCGCAGTTCACCGTATTTACTAAAGTAACTTTCTAAGTCCTCATCAGTCGTTTTCCATGGTAAACCGAGCACAAGTAAATCACGATTCTTCCAAGCTGTTGATGTTGCCTCAGACTTGGGATCCTTGGATGCTCGCTCAACATCACTTTCAAATTCTTCGTTCAATTTCCTTTTCTGTCCATTATCTGAACACACATATCATTATCATTCCTCAACATTATAAAATGGTTACATATAATTTCACATTGATTCCTTAAATACATCAAACTTATTTAAGAAATATTATGTAAATAATTTAAATATGTAGGTAGAAAATATTTTAAAAATCAACCATCACCAACGGTTGATAAATATATATGTTTTGATGAGTGTTTAGACTTGTCCAACAAGGTTTTCATTCTTACATAAAAGTCAAATACCTAGATTTCATTAGAATTCAAAACGAAAAGAATAAATTCTATGAATCTATATCAGTACAAGTTTATGATCATAATATAAACGAGAATGAATACCTAGTTCCAACACTTGTTGAGTTTTCAACACATAACTTCACCATGATAATATAGAATGAATCATTAATATAAACCATTTAATTATGAAAAGATGTTACTGTCTGTTTGCCAGACGATCCCAATTGACTGAAACCTTTTTCCAATATTCTCATACATAGGTATTGTCTCAAATTAAATTAATCAATTATACATAATATGTATGCCTAATATTAGGCATATTACATAACATACATACAATATTTAAAAACAAAACCAACTTACCCTTGTTGAATGAACAAAAGTATACAATGTCGCCCCACCCATCTTCAGTAGGTGGATGTAGCTTATCATCGGCAAGCCGTAGAGCTCGAGTCCGGCCATTATCCGGAGCTACGTACTTCAAGCCGCAAGCGTCCGGATATTGTGCACGAAGAGTGGACAACAAGAGGGTGCCATCTTTTTCCAACGGCAAGTCCACCACTTCTTTATCACCGTCGTTTGTTTCGGAAACTTGGACGAACGACATGGCGTTGACCAAACGGAAAATGCAATAATGCGGTAATTCGCGTGACTTCTGGAACACAGTCGTGTAAGGACGTTAGACAACGTACAAATAAACAAAGTTAACAATTGAACACGTAATATTACGTACCGATTGGGAGTACAACTGGAAACTGAAGTAAAAACAAGTACACAAAAGTGCGTAAGATACTGATGAACAGACGCACACACGCGGTACACTAAGGCATCGACCGTAGACCAGAGAAGAACAGACTACAGAGCCTTAGAGGTAGGCTACGCAGTTCACAGAAACAGAATACAAACTACGAACTACGAAGTAGTAAGCACAAACGTCAGAAACGTACGGTAGTAGTGTCGTACAGAGTACAGACTACACTAGTACACTAGTACACTACTACAGTACTACTACAGACGCACAATATTAAATATTAATGTAAACACGAATCAAGTGTCAGTGGAAAGTGGAGACACTGCAACCATTGTTACCAACCGAATATAATACCGATAGTCATGTTGGTGGATATTACGAATTTTTTTTTAAATTTTCAAAGTGCTCATAAAATTATAACTAAAAATTATAACATTAACTCTAAATCATAACATTTAAGTAGCTTTATAGTTATATATATAATATACTAGCTTATCCCATGCACTTCGTTGCTCGTTAAATGTACCAACTCTATATGAATCAAACTTTGTTCAATTCGTTATTTAATATTTGGCGTATGGTGTTCAAAATGTATCTTAACTTTTCCGTTGCCCCGAATAAAAATTCTGATATGTAGCAGTATATTATCAGGTAAGCAATCTGCTACGGTAGATCGCGGACCCCGTGCTGCTTGTATGTAAGTCGTAAGTATATGATTTAACTGTAAAGTATCAAAGTTATACCAAGTTTGTCGTATTCCACCTATGGTGGATTAGTATAATCAATTAATACAAAATCCTAACCTAGCCTAACCGTACCAATATCAGACGAATAAAATAAAACCAAATTTAAATATTTTTAAATTAGCCTGTCTTCTTCTCAGAGGTCAGCTAATACACACACAAACATTCATTCCGCATTCGTATACAGATTGACAAAAATAATAATACAAATCAACAAACATGTCCGATTAACCAATAGCAACCAATATATAATACACTGTTGTATTTTTTACATCCAGATTTCCTACTTCTCCAGTGGATTTTCCTAAAATTTTCTTTCGTAAAACCTTTTCCTGGCAATTACGTACATTTAAAAATAAAATATGAGCCAAATCGGACCAGCCGTTTTTGATTGATGAGGTATAATCACATTTTCAAGTCATATTATAACTATTATATATATTATAATTGTAACTTTAGAGTTTAAGTATTTATTATTTAGTTTTAGTGTTTATATATTGTTTATTATTAAAAGGTGTCTAGAAAATGTTATTAAAAATACACCCGTGTAATTCTAATTCTAATTCTAATTTATATGGAAAAACAACGTTTGGTGGGTCAGCTAGTAAATTACAATTGTAACTTTCGAGTTTAGATTCAAAATTGCAAATTTATATTAAAAAAAAAAACTTCTGATGAGTATCGACTATATCGTAAATGCAAGTGTTATATCACTTAGGTTCCAGTAATGTATTGTAATTAGGTAGGTACTAATTTGTAATAGGTACTATAATAATTATTAAACCCGTAGTATAGTATTCCTTACTTCCTTAAGTACTCTATGATTATAAACTATTTAAACATATTTTTTTTATTTTTTTTTATTGAACTTTTTTCAAAGCCCGGCGACTATGGCCATTAGCTGATTGTGGGGTTTTATGATTGTAGGTTGTAGGGTTTGTGATGGTAGGGTTATTACACTTATGTGTTGAGTTTGGCAGAATTTTTTATTGGGCACCCGTAGGTAACAGCCATGCCCGGGTGGGGGATGGCGGTAATTGTTCCCGGACACCGTGACTTGTCCGAAGAAAAATGCCACCCGTGACCAAGGAATCAAACTCGGGAAAAACAGAGATCGATGCGGCCTGTAGAATATTTCCTTCTAGCAATTAAAAAAAAAAATTATGAAATTTGGTTGATTCTCCAAGGCGGTATCTTTATTCCAGCCGAGTATATTTTTGAGGACAAAATGGCATCGGCACTGGGCGCCTTAAACATTTCATAAAAACGTGTACGAATTAATATATAAGCTCACGATGACCGATGTGTAAAATTTATAAAATGTATTATAAAAACCATAATGCGCACAATATGTCAATATAATGTATTATGTATGCAGGTACTGTGTTATATATTAATTTTTGTTTATAGATGTAGCCATGTAGGTACCTAAGTATAGGTATCTATAATTGACATGTTCTGTGCACGTTAAAAGCTATTTCCAACTTCCAATTTTCCAACTTTTTAATTCATTACAACAGTATAATATTGTAGAAACCGTTTATATGGGCATTCAAGGAACTCGTCAAACGTAATCATAATAACCGATTGCAGTCATTAAAACCAAATTTATAAAATAAAATTTAAAAACTTGAGGGTACCTATATAGTATGTACTGCAAAAGTACAAAAAGTACAAAAATTGGCTACAAAATTGTTTAAGCACAGTTTAAAACATAGGGAAACTACGGTGATTGTGGGGGGGGGGCAAAAGCCCCCTTAACCTCATTCAGCTGTGTAGTTCTTGTGCGTATAATGTATATTAGTACAATGGCAAGTGTTTAATTAAAAAAAACAACAACAACTAATTTATAACAATTGTTTTTCTATATTACATATTATATAGGAATAGGAAGAGTATTGGATGTATATATATAATGTGACAAAGAAGTATTGACTATTGAATATATATAATATATTTATAAACTGTTTATTAATTCAACATAATTCTTAAAAATATCATAAAAATAAACATTTTATAGTTTTTAAACAGAAATTAAAAATAGAAAAGAAACTGTACATAAGAAAAAAAAAAAACAAAAAAATAGTGTATAAGCAGACTATGGCTTATGTTTTCATGTATTTGACAATCCGTAAGGGGGAATACTGTTGGTCTTCAGATAAAATATTCCTCTCGCTCTAGAAAATATTTATGACAAAAAAAAATTAATACCTACCAAGAATTTACATTTTCTTAATTCTTTCCAGTTAAAAAACGTGTACTTTATTATATTCTTACAATGTACAACGTTACACATTTTAATTTGATTGTCATTTATTATAATAATATATTTGCATTTTGTCAACAATTATTATTAGCCAACGATGTAATATATTATGCGTATCTAATGCTGCCATAATATAATATACACAGTTTCGCGGTGCCATCATTTAATTGTCTTATTATTCATTTTATGTTAATACATTAAGGTATTTAAAAAATTGAGTGATAATAATTTGAAGACCCCACAAGTAAAAGAATAATGTAATATATAGGTGAATTAAATTTATTATACCTACCTACTATCGTCGTCGTTAATTACTCGTTAATTATAATCTATGTATTCGTTTTACGTACCTACACGTTGAGCTTACTTTGTTTTTTCTTGTAAGTAATACATAAGTATGGATTCACTTATCTGTATTCTATATTTTACTGGCTCAATTATTAAAGCTAGTATAGCCCATTCGTCAAAACACAACCAGAAAGTCCATTTCAATTACAATGGTTCACTTATCATAATTCTTGAATTCTATTATTTAGGTCCACATATTTTTTTAAATGAATATTCCTGGTTATTTTTAGTTTTGAAACCCGTAGTACGAGTATTAGGACAAGGTATTAAAAATATGATACACAGATTGGCAGTTTATCTTTGAAGCATTACTTAAAATTTACATATATATTATATATTATGCTCAGAACAAAAATTACAGTTTTATATACGATTTAAATCCGGATAATTATTTAGGATTGCTTTACTTCCCACAGTTATATTTTGTTCCTCAATGTATTTTCTGCGTATACAAAAATTTAAGAACCAAGAACTATACAAATTCTTAAAGTCTTTAAATTGTTTATAATATTACGAGTTGAGTAAACAATTTATAATTAGTTTACAAACAAAACAATTTACTATTTACTTCGGCTCGAATTTAAGGAGCATTGTCTATACCTAGGCTACTTATACTCGTGATCATAGTAATTCGGATCCTTAAGTTAAAAAATAATAAATTATACTTTATAAGTCGTGTTCTTACTTTGGATCTGCGTCATGTCCCATATAACTTTTATTATTATTTTTGCATTCACCACTCGTATATTCGTCCCATGTAGGACATTCTGTAGCTAGAAACGAATTCCTATGGTAGATGGAGTCTGTGTAAAATTTATGCGATCTCGAATGGCTGCAGCCGACTGTAAATTAGCCAGCACACGTTTAGTTGATAGTTTTATATAGGTATTATGACCAATGAGAGACTCCTCTAAACTTTTTACCAGTTAAAATGATTTGTCTTACATAATACATGGCTATTAATTTACTTTCATTCATACTGCCAAACTCATGTTTATTTTCTATCATCTACATAAAAAAGTTTAATTACTTATCACTCTATAACCGCATGAACTTACTTATCTTTGCTATCCCGCTTGGCGTGTATGATTCAAAACACCCTGGTTGAATGGGTTTCCCCTCGTTTGGATAAAAATCAGCATGTCCTATGGCTTTTGAGTATCCAGCTGTCCCTATCGCTGTATGAATCACGTCAACAAATGCTGCGTCTGTATCGTCTAGGTAGTCTGAACGTAATGACAAGTACTCGAATCCAGGACCGGCAGGGTCTAGACCTGCATTTTGTAGTAGAACAAGAATTAAGTGGGAAAAAGATAATAGTGGAATACTAGTGATTAGCTGAAATATATTATTTTGGTGACTCTCGAATTGCCCTTGTATGTAGGGTAGATGACCTTTTTTTCACTTGAATTGTCTCCCGAAATAAGAGTATAAATGAAAAAAAAATTCTTTTTGATTTTAATGATTATATTACATGCTAAATACAGGTATGTGTTTAT